CTCCCGCGAAGCCCTTCGCGGCCGGGCGCCTGCAGCGCATCTCCTCGCGGCCCCGCCCCTCCTGCGGGGCTCCTCCCCGGCCCTGCCCCTCCTGCGGGGCTCTTACCCTGACCCCCCCCCCCCCCCGCTCTTTTGGTCCCCTGGGTCCTCTAGCACCAGCCACAAGATGGCGCTGGGTAGGAGGGCGGTGGTCCCCGGTCCTCGTTCTTCAGGCGGCCTCGGTGCTTTGTGGAAAACAACTTGGGGCTGAAGCCAGCCAGCAGAGTGGAGGCGGTTTCGCCGCTGGCTCGGGACCACCTGTCCAGGGGAGCAGCTTGCTGGCCGGGACAGGGACGGCGATGCCACGCGGTACGGTCCTCGGCGTCCTGCAGACTTGAAGGTGCCCGGAGCCCAGAGTGGCCGGAGAGGGCTCCTCGGACACTCACGGCACTCACGGCCGGCCTGTGCCTGCGGTGTGCACTGCGGAGGCCCGCGGACCAAAAGAAGGGGCAGCAGACTCTGGGAGAGGCCCGGGGGTCTGGGCAGTGCTTTCGTCGGTGGCGGGTTACTTGGCGGGACCTTTTTCCTGACTGACCTTAGCTCCCCTCCCTTGGAATACAGACTGGGCTCGCTGTGCTGCCCAAGGTGGTCTCCAATGATTCTCCCAAAGCACTGGCGACCTGAAAACATCTGCATGCATAAGAAATAGGGTGGAGCCAAATGCTGGCCCTGAAGCAGCTTTAATGAGCCTTCTCCACGAAAGGAGGCAGCCCTGGTGCCCTCTGTGCGGTGGAATGGCTTCCTGCCCCGACCTGCCCTTCCATCGCAAGGCCTGCCTGGGAACTCCCTCTTCTTCGAGGCTCTGTTTTTCCCCAAGGACGACTCTCCCATCTTGTAAAAAAGAGATAAGAGCACCTGCGTTCTGGAAGGCATATCAAGTGCCGCTGATGTTTTGTTCTTGTTTATTCATTATATTTTTAATTTTATTCCTAATTAACTATATCAAGTTATTACCGTTCAGATGATGTTCTGGCAGGGAGTTGGACCTGGGTTCAAAATAGAATGATAGTAATTTTGAGTAATTCATTCTTTAAAATTTTATTAATACGTTTTTCTAAAGTAAAAAAACTTTGTACACATTTTAAAAAATGTTGTTGGTTCAGTCATTCATATGGTGGCAGGAGAAAAAACACACACACACAAAAATTATTTTATCAGGAAAAAAACCGAGCAGTTACCATAAACGTCCCAAGGGCCAGCCCTAGTAGAATGGATGCTGTTCTCAGGGAGACTGTGCTTTTAGCTATGTTGTTCATATGTTGTGTTTCAAGGCATCACAGAGTATACTCAGTAAATCTTGGTTCATATCACAGAATTACGTATGGATTGCTCCCTTTCCTTTTACTCTTTGTTTAGTGACAAGCACGGTGACTTCCAGGTGTTTCAGAAGCAGAGCACACACCTATCACCCTAGCCTTGCTTGGGACCTCCTGATGGGTTTTCCTGCTTTCATCCCCCTTCTCACTGCCCATCTCTTCTACTGCAGTCAGGCTTATTTTCTAAATTTCAAGTTCTCTGATAATGTCACCTTCTGTTCACAGATCAACACTCCTCCTTTTAAACAAGGCTCAGACTCAAACTCCAGTGCCTTGGGTTGGCCAGGCTCTGTACATTCTACCTTTCCGGACTTTACACCCCAAGTTGTCACACACACCATGTTCTAACCTGCAGAACACAACCTCCTGCTTTCATGCTTATGTGTGTTTTATTATATTTCAACCATTATTTACAAATGAGACTTTCCATGAATATTTTGATTTTTATTCATTAAAAAATATGCAGTATTCAGTTTTTTGTTTTTGTGATAGTTCACTTTGATGGTCTCCAGCTGTATCCATGTTGCTACCAAGGGCGTGATACTGTTCTTTTTGGCTGCATTATATTTCATCATATATACCCATAAAGAGACCCTAAGCATTGAGCACGTGAGCACAAAAGCAGGAACAACAGGCACTGGACACTTAAAGGGAGGAAGAAGGGGGGCACATCACACGCCCACTGTGTACCAGGTCCACTAGCATGGGGAGAGAAAGCTTGCTAGAAAAAACCACCTGCGCTCCATTTACTTATGGAGCAAATCCTCACATGTACCCCACAACTCCAAAAAAATGCATATATGTATTAAATTAGGCTGGGCATGGTGGCTCATGCCTGTAAACCCGGCGCTTTGGGACCCTGAGGCTGGAGTATCTGTAAGCTCAGGAGTTCAAAACTAGTCTGAGCAACACAGCAAGACCTCATCTCTACAAGAAATTAAAAATTAGCCTGGAGAGGTGGTGCCTGCTTGTAGTCCCAGCTACTGGGGAGGCTGAGGCAGGAGGATCACCTGAACCCAGGTGTTTGTAGCTGCAATGAGCTATGCCACTGCACTCCAGTCTGGGCAACAGAGCAAAACCTTGTCTCTAAAAATGAATAAGGAAATAAATCGGGACATCGCTTCATGGGACTTCTATTTCTGTGAGGGCTGGGGCTACTAATGACTTTACAGTTCTCTCCAGGCCTGTGCTAGGTTCTTTAAAACTGGAAACTCGTTTTCTTCTGGGAAGTTTTAACAGAATTCTTGGTAAAAATTTCCTCACCCCTGCCCTTACCTTACCCCAGATTTTCTGTTGTGTATTTCTGAGACCTACTTTTTGGACTTTTCTTATATAAACATGAAAGTTTATATATCAGATACCTGATTTCAGAAAGATCTTTCAGGTGGTTTAGAGGATAGTTCAGCAATGAAGTGAGGCTTAAATCAGGTAGAGAAGATAGAAACTTGCATAGACAAGACATGAACTGGAATTGATTTAAAGCACAAGACATGAACTGGAATTGATTCAAAGACATGAATTGGAATTGATTCAAAGACAAATAGGAGGAACAAACACATACTTAGAAAGGGGATGGAAAGACCTTGCTGAAAATGTGGAGATAGAAGAATTAGAAAAGACCACCAAATGCTGGAAAACAATCTACTTCTAAATAAACCACGGGCCAAAGAAGTAATCACAAGAAATTTAAGACATTTCAAGTTCAGTAATAACGAAAGATAAACTTTCCCAAATTTGTGGGATGCAGCTAAAGCAGAGCTTGGTGCCCTAATAGGAGATGTGTGAAAGTACTCACTGGATTATTTGAGTTGGGAATTATGCGATCAGACTTAGATTTTTGAAAAATTATTTACTAAAACTAATGGGGAAAATTTTATGAGAAACAGAATATTTACATAGTCTAAAGGATTCATCTAAAAATTACTTGTTAGTTACAAAAGGGAGAAATAGTAACTTTACAATGATAAACTTGGCAGATACCACCTCAATTAAATGGTCAAAGCTAACATCACCAATAGTGGACCAAGCACCATATACTTCCTGATATGATGTGTTGAGAAGTTCACTGTGCCTCTTCTGTATTAATTCTGTCAGAAATGTGTATCCTGACCAGGTACCAGAGTCAGATTGAAAAACAAATTTTAATGTATTGTGTAATAGGGTAATAAAACCCTAACTGCTGAGTCCTTATCAGGCATTACTCCTGAAACCTCTTAGTTAGGAATTTGGATGAGAGAGGAAAAAAAGTTTAGAACTCATATATAAAACAAATAAATAAATATTAACTTCTACTTACTTTGGATTTGCTTTGTTCTTTTTCTAGCTTCTTATCATTATGTTAGGCTTTTTTTTTTCTGATATAAACACCAAAAGCTATTAATTTTCCTTTCGGCTCTGCTTCAGCTGCATCCCATAAATTAGGGAAAGTTTATCTTTCATTATTAACTTGAAATGTTTTATAATTCTTGTTGTGATTGGTTCTTTGGCCCATGGCTTATTTAGAAGTGGATTGTTTTCCAAATAATTATGGTTTCTAGATATTTTACTAATTTTTAACTTAATATTACTATGGTTTCATTTCTTGCCACTGTGGTATTGCTTGTACATGGAGAACATACTCTCTGATTTCCATCATTTAATTGAGACTTGTTTTAGGGTCCAGCAAGTAGTATTTTTTTTCTTTTGAATGGGAGTCTCACTTTGTCAACCAGGCTGGAGTGCAGTGGCATGTTCACAGCTATCACAGCCTCGACCTGCTGGGCTCAGGCAATCCTTCCACCCCAGCCTCCCTAGTAGCTGGGATTACAGGTGTGTGCAATGATGCCCAGCTAATTGTTTTATTTATTGTAGAGAGACATGGGGTCTTGTCAAGTTGCCCAGACTGGTCTCAAACCCCTGGGCTCAGGCAATCTCCTTGTCTCTGTCTCCCAAAGTGCTGGGATTACAGGCATGAACTACTGCACCTGGCTCAGCATGTAGTCTTTCTTGGTGAAATGCCATTTTATTATTATTTTTTTCTCCCTCCTTTATTTGTTTTTCTTTCCCTCCTTTTTTGCCCACATCTGGATTATTTGAATTTTTTTAGAATTTAATTAAATTTATCTATTGGCTATTTAGGCCTTCCTATTTGCAGTTTTTAGTCTTATTGTTGGTATTAAAATATACATCCTTAAGTTTTCAGTGTGCACTGTATCAGCATATACTTGGCTTTGCTTTTGTTTCCTTTATTTTTATTTTTTTATTTTTTGAGTCAGGTCTAATCTGTCACCCAAGCTGGAGTGCAGTGGCATAATCATGGCTCATCACAGCCTCAACCTCCTAGGCTCAGGCAGTCCTCCCACCTCAACCTCCTAAGTAGCTGGGACTACGGGTGTGCGCCACCATACTGGCTAATTTTTTTTTTTTAATTTTGTAGAGATGAGGTCTCACTATGTTACCCAGGCTGGTCTTGAACTTCTGAACTCAAGCAATCCTCCCACTACAGCCTCCCAAAGTGCTGGGACTATAGGCATGAGCCACCAAGTCCAGCTGCTTTGGTTTCCTTTT